AAGTTTTGGTGGAGTTGTGGGGGGGGGGGGACCCTGTTTGCGAAGGGACATGGGTAGGCGCCGGATGCCACCACCAGAAACGCGATCAGATGCCAGCCCTTGCCCCGCGGTTTCCAGAAACTAGTACCTCGGAGGTACTAGTTTTTAACTCCGCATCTTCGGCAGGAAGCCTCGGGTTCGCCATGGGAGCTCTACGCTTCCCAGATGTTGCGGTGTGATCGCGTCCGGAAAATCCGCCTATCTTCCATCTCTGTAGCATGGCTAATGCTCCGTGTGACCGCAGCCCAAGAAACGGCAATATACATAGAGAGCAGTGGCAGAAGGGGCACAGCTCGCACTGTTGATTTGTAGGGGGTGTGCATATGTAAGTAGGGATGGGGTGCAGTGGCTTTCCTGGCCTCTTGGGTATAAGGAACACATGAAGAATGGTCTGATCATGTTTCCTGTGTCTGCTTTTCCAGAAAACCTTGAAGATCCAAGACATGGGACTCATGTCAATGGCAGGCATGATGCCATCAGGACAACCTGCAGCCCCGGTAAGAGATAAGCCTTGTAACTTGCCATCCCCTGGGACTGAATAGCAGTTACCCCAGGCCAGCAAGTTGTAAGTAATGCACCAAAGGAACATGCCAGAAGTGTACTTTGTTTGAGAACTACCTGCATGCCCTACAGCACTATATTGTATGAACACAGTGCAATGACAACTGCTTGTTGACCCTACAAGAGGGAGAAGCAGAGCCAGGGATGCTTATTGTTGCCTAGTGGTTAACACAGACAGTAATGATTGGCTTTTTTAAAAAAAATATTTTTATTGTGGTTTTCTTATGCATTACATCATGCATATATCACTTCTACATTCATCAGTGTCTTAACAGAGTCATCACAATCTATCATTGTACTTTATTTTCTTTCGTCCATTTATAAAACTTTACCCATCTAGCATTGAATATTTCCATATCTTTATTTTCCAGTATTGTAGTTAATTTATCTACTTCAACTACTTCTTGTATTTTAGCAATCAGGTCTATTTGGGATGGTATCCTTTCTAGTTTCCAGTTTTTGGCAAACAGAATACGAGCTGCTGTTATAATGAATGCAATTACATACTTTTCTTCCATTTTCAACTTCTCTGGCATTAAATTTAACAGAAACATTTCTGGTTTAAAAGGTAATACTACCTCAAACATACCTGTCAACATCTTATACGTCTTCTGCCAGTATTGTTGGGCTTTGGGGCACCTCCACCACATATGGTAGAAGGTGCCCACATTATGCTTACATTTCCAACAATTTATGGGTGCATTCTTATAACATTTGGCGATTTTGTCCGGAGACCAATGCCACCGGTGAAACATTTTAAACACATTTTCCTTATAAGATATCGCTCTCAATTTTCTTGCAGTTAACCATATTTTAGACCAATCCTCTATCGTATATCCTAAGTCTTGCATCCAAACAATCGTTGGCTTTTTAAGGGAGAAGCAGAGCTGTTGCACAGTGTTACAGTGATGGCAGCATTAGGGGCAGATGATTCCCCCCCCCCCAAACTAAAGATGCGATGGCCCAGAAAAATTCATGGTAAAAAAAACCCCACAGTTTTTCCCCTGCGAGGCCTTTTATTCAACTTTTTTCAATGGAAAGTGGGGAAATTTTGGAGAGCACTGACAAAAGCCTCCTATTAAATATTTTCTCTTTTAGATTGAGCAAAATGCTTCTTAAGGCAAGGTTTTCACATTCAAAATGTACAGTATGAAAAGCTCTAAGGGCTTTCTCAAGTTTTCCAGTGGAAAAACTGGGAAATTTTGAGGGATGCTAGGGAAAAAACCCAAGTTTATGCTACTTACATGTATAATATTTTCAAGATTTTTTTTTGTTTAAAATGTAAATAATTTTGGCAGCAATTAATGTGTTTAATGATAATACATTATTAAAGAGTTGTGTTTTCAATGTTATAAAGTTTAGCTTCATATCCAAACATTCCGGCAGTCCTACCCATTGTGATTCTGAGAGTTTCTATCCATATAATAGGCTTTCTTTTGTTTACTACAGAATTTTTTATACTTTCAATATATTATTTTTTCCCAACTCTCAGAGGGCAGAAAGCAAAGATTCATGTGTTACTGTGGCAGTTTGCAACTCCTTCTCTAGTATTTGATATACTTGCAATTTTTCTTATAGAAAATGAAGGCATTTATACTTTTAAATTCCATAAATATGCCAAATAGTAAAGTTATAAATAAATGTTTCTTTTTTGTTATTAAATCACTAAAATAAGTTTAGGTTTGATAGGACACAAAGTATAGCATATATTTCCATTCTCCCTGAAAATAAGGAGGCTTCAAAATTTCCAGACATTTTTCATATCTGCTCTAAATAATTATTTGCAAATGCAATGGATGTATGGTTGAGAACAGTTGCTCAGACAGAATTTAAAAGGCCATTTTGTCTCTGGGGGATGATGTTCACTAAATGAGATGGGCCAAACACTCTATGGAACCATATTTTCAACAAGCCAGACTTTCTCTGTCTTATTCCCCTAAATGGAGATAGATCAAGATAGGTAGCCGCAGGGGTCATTTCCTGCAGGAGCGGAGCTCCGGCGGTAAAGATCCCAGGGGGCGGGCACATGTAACAAGCCCCACCCTCTGCTCCCAGCAGCCCTCATTCAGAGCAAGAAGCAGACAGGTAAGTTGCAGAGCCCCCCTTCCCCCCCCGGTCCAAAACAGTCCAGTGGCACCTTTAAGACCCAAGTTTTATTCAGGTATAAGCTCTCCCTCCTCTGCGAGGACAGATCTGCACGTTCCTTCCCCACACACACACAATAGCTAGCAATCCAAGACAGTCCAGTGGAGCCTGAGCGGTTGGTGTTGCCTTCTGACACACTTCCGGTGATGTCAGGGGGTGTGGCATATGCAAATGAGTTACGCTAATGAGCTCCTGCACCTCTTTTTCTACAAAATGACCCCTGGGTAGCCATGTTAGTCTGTCTGTAGTAGTAGAAAAGTGTAAGAGTTCAGTAGCACCTTAATAACTAACAAAATTTGTGGTAGGGTGTCATGACCCCAGGGGGTCTCCACCTTCTTCCGCCACCACCCTGGACTTCGGTCCCTTGAACAGGCCCAGGGTACCCTCTCAAGCCCATCCAAAATGCCCCTTTTACAGCCGAAAAAACATGAGCGTGATGACCAAGGCAGTGAAACAGTGAAACAGAAAGGGTTTATTTTTACAGTTCTGGGGCAGGGGAAAAACAAGACAAGACAAGGTGCTTTAAAAAGATATGTGGTTAAAAGGCAAAATAAACAGAATCTAACGCAGCTACGTTTTACTATTCCTAACTGGTTACTACTTCCAGGCCCACAGCCTGCCTAACACTCACGCTGAGCCAAGTGGGGAATCTTTTCTTCTCACCAGACCAGCCTGTCCCCACAGTGATCAGGCCGCAGAGAGAGACGAAAAGCAGTGAGATCTTTCTCTCCCCCGGACCAGCCTGTCCCCACAGTGACCAGGCCGCAGAGAGATGAAAGAACCCCGTTTTCCACAGTTAACAGCTAAGACCGAACCTCCTCACAGTATATCACAGTCTCCTCACAGAATCTCTGTCCTCTGATTGGCTATAGCCCGTTGCTAAGCCTTATGGGGATGGTAGGCCGTCTGCTTTCACTGCCATGTGGGTCTCTCCTGGGACCAGGCCCTGCTCCCAGTCCTGCACAGATCATGACATAGGGTATGAGCTTTTGTGAGTCACTACTCACTTGTTCAGATACCTGAAGATATCTGAAGAAGTGAGCAATGACTCACGAAAGCTCATACCCTACCACAAAGTTTGTTAGTCTTTAAAGTGCTACTGGACTCTTACCTTTTCTGCTGCTGTTAGAAACCACAACATTCAAAAACCAGTGGGGGAAGATTTTAACCTTCCAGCTTATCGTAATCTTTTATCAGTGTTGTTTCTTTGCCTGATGACATTTTCTTTCTTGTTTCTGCTGAACAGTCTTCCATAAAAATCCAGTAAGCAGTGATAGGAGTGTGGTAATGAGTGGAGTCCCTTGCTAACTCTGCGAGTGTGTTTTAGCTGCTGTTCCTGGCATTGCAGTCCCTATGCTGCTTTTATTTGCCTGTGTCCTGTCTTTCCAGAGAACTCAAAATCATAACTACAAGTATATAAAAGCTAACAGCAGAGTAATTCTTACACATAAGGAGCAAAGCTACTAATAAGACCAATCCTAGAAGTTACACCAATCCCTAAAAGCTTTTCTTTAAAAATGTGCTTTAAAAGTGCTTGGGTCCATGTTAACAAACCCTTGCCATTGGGTTCCAGTGAACTGTAGATGGCTTAGTGTCAGGGTGCTTTGATATAGTGAGCAGTTAGCCATCCAGAATAACTAAGCCAAAATATAATGCATGAATACAAGGCTGATGGAGGAGAGAACTCCTTTATTGCAGTGGCATAGTCCTTTAAATCGGCTTGCTGGCATGTCCAGTCAGTTGGATCCTTCTGCTCCTTGCATTCTAGATACCTTGACACATACTACCTCAGAGTCCTAAGCTCCTCCATGAATCCACAAAGCAGGCCTTTGACAAAGAAGAGCAAGAAACATCAACCTTTCAGTCCAGAGATCCCAGTTGTGTGCATTGCCTCAGATCAGCAACCAAATTATGCAGAAAGTGACTGCAGAAACTACATTCAGCAGAACATCCAGTCTTATCCGTAGTCCCCGAAGTTACGAGGGCACTGGTGAGAGAGCAGCTTACGGCCACAGTTGCCCGTGACCCAAAACCCTAAAGCCAAAGCCAGTAGTTTTGTGTCTGAAGAGTATCGAACTCTTGCACACAACTACCATATCTCCCACCTTGATCATAGTGTGGACAAAACAAGCCAACCTATACTGTCCATCTACATCGTGTGTGTGTGTGTGTGTGTGTGTGTGTGTGTGTGAAGTGCCGTCAAGTCACAGCCAACTTATGGTGACCCCATAGGGTTTTCAAGGCAAGAGACGTTCAGAGGTGTTTGCCATTGCGTACCTGTGTCATGACTCTGGTATTCTTTGGAGGTCTCCCGTCCAAATACTGACCAGGGCTGACCCTGCGTAGTTTCTGAGATCTGATTAGATCAGACTAGCCTGAGCTCTCCAGGTCAGGGCTGATCTCAAGACTGCTAACGAACTTAGAACCAAGCTGAAACCCGTGTGGTCAAAACAAGACTATCTGTGCTGTCCAGCTAGGTCTTAGTATATAAAAGTCAGATCAAGGTGTTGGTCTGAAGCAGTAGGACAAAGTTGGTCTTAAAGGTGCTATTGGACTCTTAACTTCGTTCCATATAAAAGTCAAACATCTCATCCAGAATTGACTTTGCATTAGTAAGCAGCAACTTAAGCTTTGTTTCTGCAAAGAACTTCATTGCCCAGACTGGTGATAGAGCAGCTTAGGGCCACAGTTGCCTGTGACCCACAACCCTAATTAAGCTTCTCCTCCCAGCATCACATTGTCCAGCAATTCCACACATATACAGGAGAGGTAGTAATGAAAGGCAGGCCCAAATCTGGCTGTTGTTTGGCTCTGACCTAAGCAAACATGCTGCCGATGCTCTATGAAACTTCTGGGATGAGAGGGGTGGTTACACCTGCAGATGGTGAGTGAAATTTTCCCCCCAGGCAGCAGAGGAGGAAGACGCCCCCAAGAAACCAGAGCAGGTCATTTTCACTGTCAAATTGACCGAGGTGAAGGCTGCAGAGAAGGTGAAGCTCATCAAGGAGGTGAAGAACTGTATGCCAGGCATGAACCTTGTCCAGGTAAGAAGATAGTGCTGACCTCCGTGAGACTTGCTTATCAGATAAAGGCCTGACAGAGGCAAGGCTGTTTCTGCACATGGTGCACACATGACAAGTAATCAAGCAGAATGGGCTCCCAAAATAGCCAGGCTCTCATAGTGCATTTAGTGGACCTGCAGGTGCTCCTTTGCAACTTATTTGACATACCAGTGAGACTCAAGTTTGAATCCCCACTCTGCCGTTAAGTTCACTGGGTGGCCAGTCACACACACTCTCAGCCCAACCTATTGCACAGAGTTGGTGTGATGATAAAGTGCAGTAGGGGAGAACAATGTATGGCATTCTGAGCTCCTTGAAAGAAGGACAAGGTTTTTTTTAACAAAAGTACTGAATACCCTTTCCAGCCCTGTTGTTAGTACTCACTCTTGTCACATGGGGGCAGCAAACTCCAAATAGAAGGAGAAACTGAGCTGAGGAGTGTAACCGTGAAGGAAGTCTGAGGGGGCAGTTTGGCATGAGTTCTCTTGTGTCAAAGCTGGTGAAAAATGAATTAGTATTCTAGGAATAGTAACCATCAGTGTAGCAAGAGCCCTTCTGAAATTTCTGTAAATATTTAGTTGATCAGAACGCCCATAGACTAATGCCAAGAACTTCCAGTTAGCAAAATAAATGCTGTAGTTTCAGCTCAAGAAGTCCCCGTTCTGGGGGCCGGCCTTCTCCGGGTGTGGGATAAGGGGAATGTGTGGAAACGTCAGGAGCAGGCAGTGTCTCAGATCCAGCATTTCCCCCTTTTTGTTACTCAACTAAGTTGTTCTCCATCTCTGGCAGGCAAAGAAGTTGGTAGAATCTCTTCCTCAAGAGATCAAGGCAAACGTCTCTAAGGATGAAGCGGAGAAGATCAAAGCGGCTCTAGAGGCGGCAGGAGGGACTGCGGTTCTGGAGTAACCAGGTCGGCCTCACTGTCAAAAGGACTCCAGCAGAGCAGAGGCTAGCCTTCTGGTCTGTCTTGCCCACCCTTGGCTTTTACTGCCTGCTGACTGGTGGTGGGTGCTGTGCGATCCCAGGAAGCTGTGCCCCGCCTTGTTTCCTCTGCAAGGGAGGGGGGGGGTTCTGCTGGGATGGTCCAGTCTGTGGTTGAATGCCTTCGGGGCCACAAGGTTTGCTCTCTGTACCAGCACTGCAAAGAACTGAGTATAAAGAATATATGAGGGGAAACACCTTGGAACAAGTGATGTATGAGGATGCTTTTTTTTTTCATGCGCCATGCTCTCCTCCCCAGTTCGTGTGTATTTTATGTTCATAACTCACCACAGGCACTTGCCAGACCAGCTCTTGATAGTGTTCAATGGCACTGTCTTAGGCTGCCATTTCTAACGGGACCCACTAGGAGATGGGTGGTTCAAGGGAAGGGGCACTGTATCAGAAAGGAGGTGTCTCTTTTGCCTGTAATGTATTGTGGTATATAGCAAGTGGACCTTTCTCTGTCACCAGGTGAGTTCTCCCTCCCCACAGGAGACGGCACTGAGATGAACAGCCCTCATCTTTTTCTGCAGCAGACCATGCTCAAAATTTATGTTGCCTGTCCCAGGGGTGTGCGGTCTAGTCTAGGACTTCACGCTGGATTTCAGAGGCAAGTGCCTTTGGAGTACATGGCAAAAGTGAAAATTCTCTGCCATCTTCCTGTCCAGGTTCAGGAACGGATCATCTGTATGCTGCTGTTCTTGAGAGGTGCATCTGAAAATGTAGCGACACATAGAAAATCCCCATTCTCCAGTGGTTCTTCGTGGGACATTCCTCACGTCCGGGGATATAAGCTCCTCCTCCCTCCTCAGGGTCGGCTCCAGCTTTGATCCAGGCGGGGAGGGGCTTATCTCCTTGGAGGCTGCCCAGTTTCTTGCCGGCCCTGCCTTTAGCAGGACGTGCTCCAGCTGTGCTGCATAGCACAGCTAGCAAGAAAGTGAAGAACAGAAGAAAGGAAAGAAGAAGATTGAGGCCGCAGCGCTTTTTAAGTGCAATAATTTGGCGGTTTTGGTGCTGAGGGGGGGACCCTTCTATGCTGTTTCCTCTTCCTTATATCTGCCTGTCTCTCCAGCGACCATTATTGCTTCTGCTTCTCCCCCCCCCCCCCCCCCCCCAGGTTCTGGGTGATGCTGAGCAGGCGATCCCTCTCCTCATTTCTAGTGGCCAACATGCAAATGCTTGTGGTCTACCACACAGTATCTCTGCTTTGACCTGCCCAGGCTGGAAGGCGCTGGCATGGGCAGCTTGTGCACAGATCGTTGTTTAGCACTTGACATGGGTTGAAGCTGAGTGGGACAGAAGGGAGGGGCGGGATAAATGAGCTGTGCAGTGAGTGGCACTGGCCAAAGAGGGGAGGAAATCCTCACCATCTTGAGTATATTTGTGGATCCTTATTTTTTCTTCTTCCTGGGGTATTTGCCTGTGTCATAAGCTTTGCTGGCCCTGGTTAAGCCTAGGTGCAGTTAATGCACTGTGCAGCTTTCCATAACATACAACCACTTTTGCCTACCCTGATCACTGCTCCTGGGCATGCCAGTCTGTTTCAGCCTATTTTCTACACCATGAATCTGAGTCTTGTGGTAGAACAAAGTTTGAGTCCAGTGGCACCTTTGAGACCAACAAAGTTTTATTCAAGGTGTGAGGTTTCGTGTTGTTGGTCTTAAAGGTGCTACTGGTCTCAAACTTTGTTCTTCTGCTTCAGACCAACACGACTGCCCACGTGAGTCTTGTGGGAAAGCGTCCTTGGGTGCTTTCCAGAATAATGGGCTGAGCCCAACTAGAAGCAGACAATTATGTTCTTTCCTCCCCCCCCCTCCCCCGTTTGGGATGATTTACAGCAGCACGGCTTACAACTTGTGTTGCTTGCTGAGCTACAGCTTCACAAAGTAGAGGCTGGGTGCTGAATCTACCCAAAAGGAAGCTCTTGTTTCAAGGGTGGATGGGCGCCAGTTTAGAACAGGGTTAAGGAGGCCTATTTGGAAATGAGGGGTTGGGTACCAGGGGAAGGGGTCAGGGGGTTATAGTCCACTGTTCTGTGGCTTATAGGCCTGTTCTGTGCAGAAGTATCAATGTGTCCCTTTTTAGATTGCTGTGCTAAACTGCTCAGAATAAATATCCTCTGTTTGTATTTAGTAGGCTGATCAATCAGCCAACATCTGAAATATTGCACCTGTCCCCTTAATTTGGCCCTTGTTCATATGTATAAACACGGTGCAGGAAACTGTCCCATGGCAGCTTTTGAGGCAAGGCTGATGGTGGGAAAAACTGTTCTGTCTTCACTTTACTAGCTCAGAGCAGGAGACTGCAGTGGAGAGACTACCAATATGGAAGTTTAGAGTTGGATGGTTTCCAGGTGCCTTCTTGCCTGGCCAGTGAAAGGCACCTAGCTGTGGTGGCTTAAAGCAGGGCAGAGTCTCTGACAACTGAATTGCAGCAGCAGAGAGAGCACCTAACAGTGTGGTTTATTTCACTCCTAGCTCATCCTTTCCTGCCTCTGTGAAGAGGATCCAACTTCCCAAGCTTTGCAAACCCAGCTGCTGGGTTGGGGTCTAGCTGGGGCAGACATAAGGCATGGATGGTATTTCCATTTCTAGCTTTCATGCTTTGAGTGCCTGGCCCTTTCCCTTACACTGATGGAAGGAAAATGAGCAATCAGTTTTTCTCTCTTGCCTTGCAAGTTATGGGGGAAGGGGAGCGGCAAGAATGCTCCCTAGAGCTGGCTGTTGTCGTGATTTAGTTAATCACTTTACTGACTAGACTCATTCTTGTATGACCCTTTCCTCCTTTACTTCCTTATTGGCTTTCTGCCATAAAGGCAGCAGTGACAAGTGAGAGGGCTGAGCAGAAAGCAAGAGTGAGATGTATACTATCTGGGGGTTGCCTCCAATGTTCCCTCTAAGCTGTGGAGTCTTATGAGCAAAAATTCTACTTTGTGAGCTACTGGCGTTAAAGTTGTGAGCGAGCGATTTGGCTACTGCATAAATTAGTTTGCTCTAGAGTCATTCTTCCTGAGCCAAGACAAAAATGTGTGAGCCGGAGACTAAAAAACTGTGAGCTAGCTCACACTAACTCAGCTTAGAGGGAACACTGGTTGCCTCATCTGTTTGTGGTTAGGCGCAGGTGGGGAGAAACAGAAAAATGAATGTCCAGTTTTATTCAACCTGTTACCTTGCTGCAGCTTGCTGGTGTGAAAGAACGTGTGTCTTGGAGAGAATGTGCAGAATGCCTCTTGCTCACCTATGAATGACCAGTGTTAAAAGCCTCACCTCCCCCCAGATCTGAGATTATGGCTAAAGGTCTGAAGAGCCTTAATGTTCAGACTGGCTTAAAACTACGAACCTTTTTCTGCAGAAAATCTCACTGGTATGTAATATGTATGCAATTTTAAGCTCCACCACACCTCACTACAGAAACGTAAGCTCCTAGGGAAGGATCTAAATGAGATCGAGCTAGGTACTCCCAAAACTGCAAATGGATAAAGAGACTAATCTGGGTATGTGTGGAGAGGGCCTTTCCTTCACTATGCAGTAATAACACAGAAGAGCCTGTCTGATAAGGGATGAGTTCCTAGGTAGGTGGAAGTGATTTGAAGGTAATACTTGGCCATAACCCAATTTTTAGTATGTAAAGCAATGATAGCCATCCCCCTTATACACCCTACCTTTCCTATCACAGTTTTGAATTTCACCGCTGAGTCTTATGCTCCACAACATACTGGAGAGACAAATGCAGAAAATGACTTAAATCAATGAAGGGCTCACTATGATGATGTGCATTACATTTCCCTGGGTAGCTGGCAGCATGCTGTTTTATCACGATGTATTAGATTCACATACTCTGAAAATACATTTCACTTGTTTTAAGTTTGTTCTTTGAGACTTCATCATACCACTTACTTCTGTACAAATGTGAAGTCTTTTAAAACATCACTATCAAAGGAAGTATATAATAATTTACAGACTAAAAGTATAGCTGCATGATATTCTCTGGGAGCACTGTGACCCTGGCCCACCCCAGCTGAAAACCTGAGCTCTTTGTAGATGCTCCATTCTCACAGCACAGTGTTACCAACGGAGAATTCCTCTGCATCGGAGGAGGATGAACCAAGTCCCCCCTTTTTCTGAACTTTAGCCCCTCTGCAGAACACAAATGCACACGGCACTGAATGAGTGTTCATTAAAAACAAGATTCTTAAGAGAATTAGCATAATGTAAGTATTTTATATTACTAAGGTTTTTAATAGCTGGTATTAAATTTTGAATAGGGCTGATAGCACCTCAAGTGGTTAAGATGTTGAACTGCAGGCTGTGGAAGGTCAGTAGTTCAGCAGTTCGAGACCCGAGTTGCCGCATGACGGAGTGAGCTCCCGTCTCTAGTTCCAGCTCCTGCCAACCTAGCAGTTCGAAAGCAAGAAATTGCAAGTAGATTAATAGGTACCACTTCGGTGGGAAGGTAACAGCATTCCATGCGCCTTGGTGTTTAGTCATGCCGGCCACATGACCACGGAAACGTCTTCGGACAGCGCTGGCTCTTCGGCTTTGAAACGGAGATGAGCACCGCAACCCTAGAGTCGGATTCGACTGGCTTTCGAGCAAGGGAACCTTTACCTTTATACCACCTCCTAAATTTTGGAGGTGACTCCTAAATCAGGACAAGAATTGTCCAGGCCTGCCTACCGAGAGGAATAATTTGCTTTCAGTGTGGTTGTAATGCAGAGTAGTATTGGAAAGCTTTGTTTTCTTAAAGCCTTATAGCCTTTATCAATAGCAGGAAAACTTGGTATCTCTGCTAGATCTCAGTTGTGGAAATGGCCAGTCTTACAGACTTTGCCCTAAGAAGGGGAGGGCACTTATTAGGTATTTCAGCTAAACCACTCTTAACACAAAGCATCAGGTATTCTCAACAAGAGCTGAACTACAATGTTCTCCACAATACATTATGATCATCCCCCCCCCGAATCATGACTGAAGAGGGAATAACAAATGATATGGCCATTGCATGTATGCCATGCCCTTCTGTAACTAATTTCAGACAGTATGGTGGTATAGTATTCAGCTACTACAGTCACTACAGGAGCTGCGGTGGCTCAAGTGGTTAAAACGCTGAACTGCAGGCTGTGGAAGGGCAGTAGTTCAGCAGTTCGAGACCCGGGTGCTGCATGATGGAGAGAGCTCCCATCTCTAGTTCCAGCTCCTGCCAACCTAG